ATAATGCTAGTTGTATAAGTTATATAATGTTAGAATAAAGGATATTTAATTTTTTATTATTTTAATATATTGAGTATCAAAATCTTATGATATCCGTTTATGTGTGTATCTTGATTAATATTATCTTATAAGGGTCGATTGTTGTTGTTAGTTATAATATTTAATTGGACTGCACTAAGATTTTGTTTTAGACCACAACTATAGAATTTTGCAAACCATAAGACCATTTTTGCAATTTTGTCTAAAACTAATTACTAAAAACGATTTACACATTATAATATTTAGTCTAACAATATGTAAATCGTTTTTAATAATTAGTTTTATAGATTTATAATATTACCAAATCCATGCCCGTCTTCCCGTCCTTAACCAAACCCTGATAATATATACACAAAATAATCTATCTATGAACAAACTAGAAGGGAAGGTGGCTATAATCACCGGCGGCGCAAGTGGTATCGGAGCAGCCACCGCTCGTCTGTTTGCAAAACAAGGTGCATGTGCGGTTGTGATCTGTGATATCCAAGATGAACTCGGAAAAGATCTCTGCAAATCCATCGGCTCACACTGTTGCACGTACATACATTGTGACGTTAGTGACGAAACCCAAGTGAAGTCCCTAGTGGACTGGACGGTGGAGACATACGGCAAGCTTGATATTATGATTAGCAACGCCGGGATCGCTAGTAAATCCGACCAGACCGTAGTCGACATGGATATGAAGCATCTTGACGACCTCTTTGCCATCAATATCCGCGGCATGGTGGCTTGCCTGAAGCATGCGGCGCGCTCGATGGTGGAGCGGAAGGTGAAGGGAAACATTATATGCATGTCTAGCGTGTTGGGAAGGCAAGCAGTGTTGCAGCATACGGATTATTGTATGTCAAAACATGCGGTGATTGGGTTGATGAAATCGGCGAGCAAGCAGCTGGGGCAATACGGGATTCGAGTGAATGCTGTGTCGCCTTCGGTGGTGGCTACGCCGTTGATGTGCAACATGCTTGAGAAAGAGGCGGCAGAAGTGGAGAAGATTTTTGAACCGTTCACCAGCTTGAAAGGCGTGATCTTGAAAGCGGAGGACGTTGCTCACGCCGTCTTGTTCCTGGCCAACGGGGAGTCTGGTTTTATCACCGGCCATGATCTGGCTGTCGACGGAGGTTTTACTATTTCATAATTTTGCATATATTAATAATTATTCATATTCATATTCATATATATAATCAGCTAATTAACAAAATGGGCGTTGGGTGATATATCTTTTGGATGTACTTTTGTGCATTGGGTGAAGTTGTAACTTTGAAGATATATGTGATTACTTTTTGAGCAATTAACGTATTCAAATTATATTATTTTAAGAATTAACGCATAAAACGTGAAAATTGATTTATTTCTAAAAGAAAATTAATCGCCTTGTGAGATAGGAGTAAGCCTTGTGATATAGGAGTAACGTTTCTTATATGATGCTAAAAGAAAGAATAGAGATGTCATTTTATTTAGACTAAATGTAAATTTGGATCCTGTTGATTAGAAAAAAAAAATGTAAATAAGGTCGAGTAAATTTTACGAATGGTTCCTATAGTTTGGGGTAATTTGCATGTTTGGTCTCTAACTTATTTTTTTAATTCGGAAGGTTTCTACTGTTTGTTTTTGTTACACGTCTGGTTCCTACAATTTATTTTTGTTACGCGTTTGGTTTCTATCTTACTTAAAAATACTATTATTTAAATAGGGAAAAATTGTGAGGTAAGTAAAGTAAGGTGAAGGGGATGAGGTTGAGAGTGTTTTTATTTAAATAAATTAAAAAATCAAAGGCAAAATAGTTTTTTTAAGTAAGACAGAAACCAAACGCGTAACAAAAACAAACAGTATGGACTTTCCGAGTTAAAAAAATTAAGTTAGAGACCAAACATGCAAATTACTCTAAACCATAGGGACCATTTGTGTACTTTACTCTAAGGTCTAAATATCCAAAATTGAAATTTTTTTAATAGTTTTGGTCCCTAAAAAAATTAAAATAAATACTTTATCCTTTTATTATATTTTTTGTGCATTTTTGATATTTAATTTAATTCTTTTATAATTAAAAAAACATCCCCACCTACTCTCTCTCTCTCTCTCTCTCATGCCAAAGTCCCACCTTCCACCATTGTTTTTGGAGATTTATTGGGTTGAAGAACATATGCATCTTCATGATCCACTAAACACAAACAAGCACGCACACACACTAAATCTTATTAACCTTCATCCAAATCATTTGTGCATCTTTCATATAGATCAATTGAAAAACAAACAAATATACACTAAATCGACATCTACTAATGTGTTTTTCTCCCTAAATTTAAAACTACTTCTCGATCAAAACCACCACCTATGATTGACCAGAAAATCAAAACCTTTGGAAATCATCTTGGTTTTGCTTACACCAATATCAATCATTAATCCAGTGACCACCGCAAGCAACAATCGATTGGAGCCAACGTAAACCCAAGAGGAAAGGCTAGTACATGTCGAGGATAATGTTGGTATATGCTTAGCTAATGGGTTTTTTGATTTTAAATTTAATGAGAAGAACCCAGTAAGGAATCGGGTTGATTCATCTCATCAGATGTGGGTTTGATTGAACTTACTGCTATGATGCTTCTTTGTTGTTGTATGTATTTAAGGACGAGAATGACAAATATATTGACATCTATGCTAAGGAGAAAGTGACATTGGAGATGGGTTTCAAAGAAAAAAGGAGTCATGAAGCAGGAGGATTACGATGAAGGTGGGGGGCTAAGAGTTTCATTTGGGTTTTTTATTTGTCTGTTTTTTTGTTTATGTTCTAATCTACATGAATCAAATGAAATGAGTAACTAAAAACCTTAATATGTAACACCCATATCCTAGAATGGTTCGATTTAGTTCTTTAAGGAGTCAAAAGCAAGGTTTTTAGGAAAAAAAATTGGGTGTCATGACATGACCATAGGGTGGTTACAATGTGAGGACGGCTGTAGCCCAAACCCATGATCTTTTAGGGTTTCCCTCGTATTTAAGCCCCATTATCTTGAATCTAGGGTTCATTATTAGCCTCCATCATCCTTAAACCTCAGAAAACCCTAACCCTAATCTCTTTTGGTGGGTTTTGGCCTTTTGGTGCATTTAGGAGCTTGCAAAATGAGAAGAAGAAAGAGAAGAAGGTGTACTAGTTGTAGATCTAGTAAGGAAACATCATCATCATCATCTTGTGCTCATTCCGGACCTTTGTAAGTGTCCAAGATTCAACCTGTATGCTTCTATGTTGCTACATCTAGGTTTTGTCCCGTTTTCTTCATGTTTGAGCAAGCTTGGTTGGAAGAGATCCATAAATTTAGGAACTTTATGGATTCTAAGGTTCCCTTAATTATTACAAGGTTCAGATCTTGGAGTTGGTTGAGTTTTTGGATCCATGCATGTGAGTTTTGGTGTTATCTCTTCATTTTTTAACCTATAATAGATAGAGGACAAGCATGGAGCATACATGTCCATAATTAATCTATTTTATGGACCTCTGGTGTCCCCTTCAACATCTAGAAAAGTTGGAGTATGAGACTTAATGATTTAAGGACTTAAGTCATTAAATAAAGGTTTCAGACTGAAGTCACGGCATGACATTGAGGGTGCCACGGCGTGACCAAGGAAGGATTTCGTGTCTGAGTTGTTCTGTTATGCTCACGACACGACCAAGGAGGTTTTACGTCGTGATGTGTGCTGAGTGGGTTGGTTTCAAACCCTTAAACCAGAACGACGAAAACATTCGGGGGTGGAGGACTTCATGTATAATATCACAACAATGCATAATAGTAATCGAAGTACAACAACAACCATTGTATTTACAAAGTTATAAGTTTTACAACTGTGATCAAAACATAATGTATATGAACTCAAAAGTATAAATTTAAAAGACACGAGTTTATAGATCTCCGTCTTCTCAAAAAGCTGTAGTTGTACATGTATCACTGTTTACCTAAGAATACAAGTAGATTTTGAAAAAAAGTGTCAACAATTAAGTTGGTGAGTTCATAAGTATGTTTGTAACTGAAATCTGTTTTCTTGTTCATTGATAAAATAAACATGTTTTTCCCAGAAAATCCTATATATTCTACAATGTTATTATGTAGGCAAAATGTGTGATACTTTCTGTACTATGAGTTTGTAAAATGTAGTTTAGTTCTCATAAAACCATGAAAGTATGATTTTCTCTGTATTGAAATAGTAATATGTGTTTATATTTGTAAAATATTGTATTATAGTTTTATAATTAAATAAAACTATGTGACGTGTTACTTATTCATACACTAATCATTTTGTTGAATATCAAATTGTGAGTTATTATAAACATACTATATGACCTAGGATCGCCTGAACACGACGTTCTTCAAGCGTCGTAATATGTAAGACATTTTTCACCCTGGGCATGCCTGCCTAACTGTAGTGAGCAGTTCATGTGTGGATTGTCAGTCCCATATAGATCAATATACAAGTGTCGCGCTCTCCCTCTAGGAGACTACAATTATAATTTCAGGACATGGTTGGTACTTAGAAAAGTACATGAAGGTAGTCTCACAAATCCTATATTGATGATTATGCGTAGAACATTGAAAAGTTACTATGTAATAAATACACTGTAAGTAATTTTCGTAAACTGTATAGAATGTAGTTTATAGGTTTGTTTTCAGTAAAGTCATATGTTTGTTTTCTAACAGTCATTCTATGTTTATTTTCCGTTATTTACTATATTTGTTTTCCTATTATGTACTTTGAAACTTGAAACCAATGAATGAGTCTTCTAAACTATACCTATTATAGTTTAGTTGTTTGTTTTTGTGACAACCGTCAAATTCTGGTCAATTCAAAGTCAAATAAAGTCAACAAGTCAAACCGGTCAGCTCAACTAACCCTTCTGTACTAGGACTTACGTTCAGTATTTACTAAACAACTCGCTATTCTGATAAGAAATCATAAATCGAAAACTACGTACAACTAGATCTCTTTAACCTAAAAACTGCGGTAAGTGGCAAGCCAAACCGATAAAAACAATGATGCTTACTCATCGGGAGTGTGTAAGATCCTTAAACAAGGCTTAATAGGGTTTACGAACCATGCATTGCGATGTCAGACACTCACAACTGTCCCACATGGAACCTCTCTCAATCGTTTTCACTCTATCTCTCTCTATGTCAAATCTCTCCCAAATCCCTCTAAGTATGTAAAATCTCTCTCAAATATCTCTTTGTATGAAAAATCTCTCCAAGAATGTCAAATCTCTCCCAAATCCCTCTAAGTATGTGAAATCTCTCTCAAATATCTCTTTGTATGAAAAATCTCTCTAAGAATGTCAAATCTGTCCCAAATCCCTCTAAGTATGTGAAATCTCTCTCAAATATCTCTTTGTATGAGAAATCTCTCCAAGAATGTCAAATCTCTCCCAAATCTCTCCAAGTATGTGAAAACTCTCGCAAATATCTCTTTGTATGAGAAATCTCTCCAAGAATGTCAAATCTCTCCCAAATCTCTCCAAGTGTGAGAAATCTCTCCCAAATCTCTCTCAAAAGTTTCCCGTAACTTTTTGGGATCATTCGGGTCATTCCGACCCTTAACCGGGTCAAAACGGCTCAAAACGGGGCGAAAACGAGAAAAATAGGCTTTAGGAACCGAAACCAAGAAGAGAGGCCTCTTAGGCGAGGACCGAGCCTCTGTTGGCTGTGGCACGCGAGGACCGAGCCTCTGTTGGCTGTGGCACGCGAGGACCGAGCCTCTGCCTCTGTTCGCTTCTCGCACTCTCTGTTCGCCTTCCGCCTCTCTGTCGCTTCCTCTCCTCTCTGTCGTATCTTCACTCTCTGTCTCTACCCGCCTCTCGGTCTCTGCTCTCTCTTCCTTCCTCTCGGTCTCTGCTCCTTCTCTCCTCTCTGTCTCTTTCTCTTCTCTCGGTCTCTCTTCTCCCCTCTCGGTTCCTACCCTCTCCCTTCTCCCCTCTTGGTTTCTACCCTCCCTCCTCTCGGTTTCAGCATCAGAAGGCCGAACCTCGGCCAGAATTCGGAAATTTGTCACTTTTAGCCCATTTTTGATATTTTTAACATTTTAAGCCCGTTTTTCGTGATTTTAAAGCGGGATTTTCTCCAGAAATTATATTTTAACATAATAATCTCTAAATAT